CTCTTTGTCTCTCACGAATAAATAAATAAAATCTTAAAAAAAAAAAAGTGGAGTCAGTTTCCCTGCCACTTGAATCTGGGCTGGCCTGTCAACTTATTTTGACCAGTAAATTGCGGGGGAGTGACAGTGTGACAGTCATAGTTGTCGGCTCTAAGAGAACAGGCGGCTTCTTGCCTTTGCTCTCTCGGAGCCACCATCATGTAAACAGGTGTGGCCATCCTACTGGAGAGAACACATAGAGAGAGGAGAGAAACCCCTGAGCTTCCCTGTCAAGGTCCCAGGGATGTAGGTGAAGTTATCTTGGGTATTCCAGCCAAATTCCTAGCTGAAAGCATCAACATACTGTGGGGCAGAAGAACTCCCCAGCTGAGCCCAACCAATCACGGAATCATGAGAAATAACAAATTGTTGCTTTAAGCCACAATGTTTTGGAGTGGTTTACTACATAACAATAGATAACTGACACACTAAAATAGTTTACATCTTTGAGTTTGATGTTATTAGGAATTCCCTCTGGGTTTGTATGTTTTGTTTCAAGAATCCTTACTGTATACTTCTATTTCACATTCCCAGTTGCAATATTATGACCTGTTTAGAGTACAGATTTATTATTTGTCACTCTTTCTTTTCCTCTCCCTTTCCTCTACCTTGAAAACTAGAGTATTTTAATTATTTTCCTCAAATAAAGTTTTAGATGATATATTTTTTTGAATCCCTGTGTGTTGAAGATTATTTTTATAACAAAGAAACCCCAAAATTCAGTACCTCAAATAAACTGAAATTCAGGGGCGCCTGGGTGGCTCAGTCGGTTAAGTGTCTGCCTTTGGCTCAGGTCATGATCCCGGGGTCCCGGGATCGAGCCCCATCGGTCTTCCTGCTCAGCCGGAGCCTGCTTCTCCCTCTGCCCCTCGCCCTCTTGCTTGTGCACTCTCTCTCTCTCTCTCTCTCTCCAATAAATAAAATCTTCAAAAAAATAAAATAAAATCTTCAAAAAAATAAAATAAAAAACAAGTTTATCTTTCATATCACCATTCAAGGCACATGCTCTAGGTCATTAGCAGTTATGCTTCTACATCATCATTTATGAACGCAGGATTCTCCCAACTTTTTTCTCCATCACTGAAGCTCAGTCGCAGGCACATCCTTCTAAGAGTATGGAGGAAGCACACGTGGGTCTTATGTTGCTGGGCTCAGAAATGACACGTAAAACTCTGAGTACATACTATTAGAGCCTCTTGTCCATGTGACCATATGTAACTGCACTGAGGCAGGGGGAGGGTGTGGGGAGAAAAGAGTGTCATGTTCCAATCAATAATTATAATCCCATAGTTAAACTGACATATTTGGTTATGAGGTGCTGCCAAAGCAAAACCAAAGTTGCCAGGAAGTGATAGGCAGCTCTCCAGCTCAAGAGCACAGTGCAGATGGATGAGTAGTAGGTGCAGAAAATCCTAAATGAAACATGAAAACAAACCTTTACTTACAAAGGAAAGAGAATTAGACCAGCTTTGGACTTCTCATCTGTAATACTATGACAGAAACTAAAATCCGAGAATGTTATACAATGGCCAAGACATTTGTCAGGGCCAATTAATGACATTTCTGGAAATACTGTGCAAGGAATGGTGTAGATTGCTAACTTCCCAGTGAATTTCAGTCTTTTCTACTTTTATGATTAATTCTGTTCATCATAGGCAGGCCAAGCCTTCTCCGCCTCTCCCCTTCTCAGAGCTGCCTGGCCGATCCCAGGAAGAGGAAGCCCCATAGCTTCCCTGGGCCTGGGGGCAGTGGAGGAAGTGTGTATAAATTTGGGCCAGTGAGTCTTTATTTAGTGATGAGGTTAGGTTTTAACATGCTCATCTGTGAAGAATATATGAAAACAAACATTCATAGCAATATGCATATACAGGCAGGACTTTATGTAAGTTGTATGTGATTTAAATTACTGTAAATATGGGTGTGCATGTACAAGAAAGCCATAGGGGTTGGGGGTTGATTAGACCATGACATTATCCCAAGTGGCCTCCAGGCAACCTTGACCATATCTAGACAGACAGGCAGCTTTCTGAGCACTGTAGCTCTCTGGTACCCGCCCTGTGTCCTCCCACAATCTCAGACTTAAAAGGTGGAAGGCCCTTTGGTGGTTATATGGCCCGAGGCTTGCGCTGTGCTTGAATCCTGCTTGCAACACTGCAAAGGTAATCTTCAGTCTCTGCACACCTTTCAAGACAAGGAGTTAACTCTTCCCTAGCAACTCCTTTTACAAAGTGGACAGTTCTGCCTTCAGGAAGGTTCTGATCATAAACCCTGGCTAGGCCCTAGGAAGGTAGTCCCTTCTCCCTCTTCTGTTCTCACCCCCACATATATAATTCAGCCCCGGGGTACCACCCTTGCTTTTCTCAATCACGGTACCTAGAGTTATCAAGTATTATTGAGCCAGATCTGGTGCTAAGCTCTAGAGACATAGAGATGAATGAGTTAAACTTTAGCTTTTAAAGTTCATGTGCTAGAGGGGAGGCAGACATGGAAAAACTATCAACAAGAATTAGAAGGAGTGAATAACTGGGCGGGGGAGGAAGAGAGGTGGCTTTCAGGAAAGACTCCTGCAGGAGGGAAGACACCTGAGCTGAGTCGGAGGCCGAGTCAGGCCAAGGAAGCCTGTAGTCAGTGCTGATCCTCTACCCACACACTCCCCAGCTGGGTCCCTAGCTCCCCACTCTCATCTCCTGCTAATCCCAAAAACCCAGAGAGGAGAAAATAGGCTTAGACATCCCTGAGGAAGGGTCAGCCTGATGAGCATCACACAGAGTTACAGGAGACGCTGGGGGGGGGGGTGCCACAACATGAACACAGCAGTCCTCCAACTGCCCCGTGGGGCCCAGCCCTGTGTCTGATTCCCCTCTGGGAGAGGCTCAGAAGGAGGGGACAGGCCCTCCAGCTCAGAAAGAGAGCTTTACAGGACAATGTGCTAACCCAAGAGGCAACCCTAAGCCCTGGCTCTGGTGAGGGTCTAGACTCCTGGATCAGAGAATAGGAAAAGCCATGGGCCTGGCCCGGCTGAGCAGCCCTTGCCCCAAGGGCCCCTGCTATGGGCTTGGGATTCCTGACGACGACGGCTCTCTGGCAGTTCTGGCAGGTGTAAGTCTGTCAGCCCCCAGGAACTATGGACTCTGTGGTTTCATCAGCCCAGCTCAACACTAGTCATAGATTCTCAGGCTAGAGAAGGCTCTGGGGCACTAAGGAAGAAGAAAGGAAGGAAGCAAATGACTTCCTTCTATATCAGGCACTATACAGATTAAGCCTTCGATACCACAAAATCTCAATTTTAGCATGGTCATAAGAAAGGATACACATCAAACTGTTAACACTTATCTGTGACGGGTAGAATATTAGAGGACTTCGTTTCAATGTTCTATACATTGTTCTGATAATATATGTATTATCAGAAATAAAATATTTCCAGCAGCCAAAATACCTACCCATTGATAATGAAGATATATATCTTATATCCCATTTTTTTTATGTAAAGGGTCAATCATTAACATTGAAGTACTGACTTCTATTCACCCTCTCATTCCTCCTCAGCTGAGGCAGTGGCTTCTCTAAATGGAGAGTTTGGAAGGAGAAACTAGCGCAGTTCAGACTCTTCTGCTTTTCTTTCTACGTGGAAGCAAGTTGTCAACAGGGAACTAGTTTCCTTGGCTCTTCTCTGCCTTTAGTCTCAGGGGCAGGCCTGCCATGTGGGGAGTCTCTATCCTCCAACCTAGCTTTTTCCAGTAGTGAAGGTGATGGATACCTTTGTTTACCATTTCCTGAATCTCATTTCTCAATTGGTTTAGAAGTGAGGAAGAGGAATGCTAATTATTGGACCCCTTCACACTCCCAAAAGTATAATGGAAAGAATACTGAATCAGGAGATACAAAGTCAAGTTAGTAATCCTAGATCTGCCACTTAGGAGGTGTGCCCTAGGGCAAATCACTTATCACTTAAGACCTCAGTTTCTTACCTGATGGAGTCTACATTCTTGATTATAAGCAACAGAAACCGGGTCTGGTTGTTTGTTTGTTTTTTATTTTAATTCCAGTGTAGTTAATGTATAGTGCTATATTATTTTCAGGTGTACAATATAGGGATTCAACAGTTCCATATATTACTCAGTGCTCATCAAGATAAATATACTCCCCTTCTTCTTCTCCTCCTCCTCCCCTTCCTTCTCTTTCTGCTTCTTCTTCTTCTTCCTTCCTCCTCTTCCTTTGAGTCACCCAACATGGGGCTTGAACTCATGACCCCAAGATCAAGAGTCACATGTTCTAACGACTAAGCCAACCAGACACCCAGATCTGGTTGTTTTAAGCCAAAAAGGGAAAATATGGTAGCTTCCAAAATGATGAGAAGCTCTGAGAAGAGGTTTAGACAATGAACCAAATGAGGGGCCCCCCAAGATCTGTCAGCAAGAATAGCTTGATCCATGTCACAGATATTGCTAAAATAAACTTTATGCCAAACATTCTGTCTTTGAGTTTGGGTAAGCTAAATGCTAAGATAACCTCCCAAATTTTAGAGGTTCTACACTGTGGAAGTTTATTTCTGTTTCACACAATAGTCCACCATGGGTGCTCCTGGTCTAGTAGCTTTTCTGGGCAGCTCTCCTCCAGGCATTGTCTCAGGGATCCATAATCCTTCCATT